CGTCAGGATAGATAACCTAGACTAAGTAGGATTAAGGGGGTTATTTGTTATAAATAGGGCGTCCAATGCTCTCCTAATAATCAATAAAGAATTCCCTTAAACCCTAAAACTCTCTCTCTTTCCCTAACTCTCCTTCTCACGTAACTCTCTCTTTTCCCTCTTCCCCCCTGCCGCACGGACCTTCCTCCCCGTCAACCTCCTGTTGACACCTTTGGGAGGTATCATTGGTGCTTTCATTGCCGTTCTCATGACGACGTCACCGCCTCCCCAAGATGCTTCTCCACCGGCCCTCAAATTGGAAGATCTCATGAACGCCATCACGAACTTGGGCAACGAATTGCATGCCACGCGGGTTCAACAGGCGTCCATGGCAAGGAAACTCGCCGAGATTGCTCCTGAAGACTCCTCCGGTGTTCACGGTCGTCCCCCCACCACCGGGTTTCGGCCGCCGGGGACGCGTGTGCCATACGTCCAAGCCGGCTCTGATCCCATCCCGCACATGCGTGTTGACGCACCCCGTTTTACCGGGGAGGATCCCACAGGGTGGGTATTCCGGGTTCAAAAGTATTTTGATTATTTTCTTACACCGGAGGAAGAACGCTTTCACCTGGTCGCTATGCTCATCGATCACCCCGCTTCGGAGTGGTTCCGATATTATCAAGCTAACAACTGTAACGCCCGGTGGCCAGAATTCTTGAAGGCGGTCCAGCAGCGCTTTGATCCCAGTTACTACGAAAATTATGTTGGGCTTCTCTCCAAACTGACACAAACCTCTTCGGTGATGGATTACCAAACAAGCTTTGAAGCCCTATTGAATAAAGTTTCGGGTGTTCCGGAGGCAACGCTCGTAGCCATGTACATCGCCGGTCTCAAACAACCTGTGCAGCGTGAAGTGAACCTCCGTACTCCAACTACCCTCCCGGCTGCGTTCGCCTTAGCACGTGAGTTATCGGCCTCTTATCAAGACTTGCAGGGTGCCTCTTCCTCACGCCGTGCATGGCCGGTCCGCCAACCAGCGACCACTCCCCCTGGGTTTCCAATTTCGGCCAACCCGTCCCAGATCCCGCCGCCTTCCCGAGGGTCCTTTCCGCCATCCAAACCCGCTGCTTCCAGTTCTCTCTCTCAGTTGCCTATTGTTAAAGTGAGTGCGGCCGATAAGGCCGAGCGGGCAAAAAAAGGGTTGTGTTGGTATTGTGATGAA